CGCGGAAATGTTCGGTCCCAAGAGTAATTAACCAACCTTAATCTCACATTGTCGGTCAAGAAATTCAAAATTCCGGTGTGAATCTGGAAAATATCAAAGGACCTAATAGAGAAATGCTGGACAAGGAAGAGAGAAAGTCGAATATCCAATTTCATTATCTTCTCAACAATTTTAATGTATATAAATATATAAAAAGAAATGTAAAGGTACATTGTACATTCGCCTTTACCCAGAAATCTCAGAAAAACAAAAAAACAAAAAACTGATGACAGTGTGCATAGATGGCAGCAATAGCATGATGCTGCTGCAAAAGAAAGAAACTCTGTTCTACACCCTCTGTACAGAAAAACCTTCCTCGCCCTCATTCATTCGCGCCGCCTCCATGACTTTGTTGCGTCTTTGCTTGATAAATCACTTTCTTTCCCGCTCTCCCATTTGTTTCACCATACCCAACTCCTTCCCTATAGTATCCACCCCCAAAATTCCCACCTTGCGGTGTACCCATCCATTGGTTGGGTGGTGAAGGCAACCGGTTAAGATTTGCATTAGCAGCTTCTGTATAGCTTGAATACACTTGTTTGCTTCTCACTTCATCTTCTATCGATAAGCCAGACATTCCAGCTCTCAGTCCACCACGGTTATGCTGCCCTACTACTGACTTGGAGTGGTAGTTCCGGTTATAGTCTGGTGATCCATATATTGGACCAGGATATCTTGGGCCGTTGTTGAACGTTCCCTGAGAACTGTTGTTATACTTTCCGTAATAGTAATAGCTCCAGTCATCGTCATATGCTTTCCTGTAAGAAGAGGAAGCTGCTGTTCTTGGTCTATTGACTCCACCATAGTAATGGTTACCCGGCACATTATGGTAATATGCATTTGGATCAATTAGTCCTGACGCCGAACCACTTGAGGATTTCATGTTAAGGGTGTTTTTGATCAGGCGATGAGCTGCTTCTCCCAGCGTAGGTCCAGCTATAGCACCAGCCACTTGTGGCCTGCATC